TATACATGGTAAGATACGCAATGATTGGGCTGTAGGTCTTTTAAAACGTCTCTAGGTAATGGTTGAGTTTAAAATACTTAATCTTACACTTGACTTTGAGCTGATTCAAAAATTTGATTCTACTGTTTACTAGTTTTTATATTGTAATTATATATTTTTGAGCAATTCAACTAGAACTTGACTTGACGGTTTGTGTTTCGAAATTCTTAGCCTAATGGGTTTTAGATTACACTTTGAGATCATAACTTTGGCTATATTACAAACAGTTTACGGACTATCCCGAGGGTTGCCCAGAGAATCCCAGAGATCTTAAAAAATACAAGATATACAAGATTTCATTTTGGTCTATAATAATTTTAACTAAACAACTTTTCAGGGAGCTTGGAATCTTTTTATAAATACCTCAAATATTGAGACTTGAATACTCCAAAGGTTGTTGATATTTAGGGCCGTTTTCTTAGATGGTTTAGGACGGTTTAGGTATTTTTTAAATTATCATAAATTGTCATAAGTTCTACATTCAATTATCAACTAATTTCTTACTATTAACGAAGATAAATAATAGAGAGAATTTTAATAATTCCTTGATTTCTCGAAACTCAATTTATCTTTCTAAATTTTTTTTTTAATATAAAGAAAATTGATTTTAAAGGCCCTTGACATAATGTTGGTTTAATTTTCTAAAATAATAGACTAGTTTCCCTGCATAAATTTGGTAAAAAATAGTGTATTTTGAAAATAGGATTCTAAATTGAAAAAATCAGTTGGAACTATAGCATTTATCTTAATAGTTTTTTCAAGACTTTTAGGATTATTAATGTTTAGAAAAATTAGTGGTTTGCACTTTGAAAAGCACTCTTTTTCAAATACATTTGAAAGCCTCTGGAAAACTCCGAGATCACCCTTGGCAATTGAATACATCAAGTAAGATTTGAGGTCATCACACATTATGGTAACTCACAACAACAAGTGTTTAGATGAGAATACTATCGCTACTCCATGCTAGGCCTAGTGGCTAAGGATGGAGTCCCCGGAGTCGGCGTGCTTCTGGTTCATGTGCTTCCGCAGATCCGACTTGTACTTGCACTTGTGCGGACAATGGGGACACTTCAGGTTGGGCTCCACGCCGCACTCGTAGTTCTTGTGGCGCTTCAGAGAGCCCTTGATCTTGTACGTCTTGCCGCAGACGTTGCAGGCGTACTTGCTCTCGTCCAGCGGATAGTCGCCAGAGACATGCTGCAGGGTCATGGTGGTGGTGCTGGCCGAGCTTATGGTGGTTGTGTGGTGCAGGTTGTGGCCCTCCAGAGCGTACAGCTTGTCCGGCTGTAGCTTCTCCACCACGTAGCCTTCATCGTCGAGCAGCTGGTCCTCCTCCTCCTCCTGCTGGTGGTGGTGATGCTGGTGAGGGTCATCGTCACCCTTCATGGCCGCCAGTTCCAGTTCCCGCTCAGCCTCGTCCGCATCGGTGAGGAGCAAGCCCGTCCCGTGGTGGTGATTGGTGACCACTGTGGCGGTGGTGGCACTTGTGACTACATTGTTGCTGTTGTTACTGTGCGGCGCCATCGTAATACTGGATGTCCCGTATTGCATTACGTCGCGGAGCAGCATCTTGTCCTCCAGCCGGGAAGTGTCTATCTTGATATATTCCTGTCTGGCCGGAGGATGCTGCTGGGGCTGGGTGTGCTGAATGGTCAGCTGCTGGCGTGGTGCCGCCGGATGCTGTTGCTGCTTCACAATCTGAATGGTGGTGGCCTGAGGCTTGTGCAGCAGGCTGGTGGTGTTCGTGTTCGTTGTGGCGTTCTTGGTCAGGGCAGGAATTGTGTACTGTATGTTGCCCACAGGGTTGCCCAAATCGTCGGGCGGGAGTTCGACCACCACGGTGGCGCCTGTTAGCAGCCCGGAGCCACCATTGCTCAGAGCTGGCGCAGAGCTGAGGGACTGATTCGGAGTAGCGTTGGCAATGGAGTAGGGCACCGTTTCCAGGATGGTCCAGTAGCCATCTGAAATTTCAGATTGGAAAAAAGTAACATTTTTTAATTAATCTTATACTTTATAGTTATGTTTTAATATTTACTTTTTAAGCATTAAGTGTGGGTTTGTGTGTGTAACTGCAGGGCCATCCAATTTGAGGGTTCTGGGTGTATATGGGGTTTGAACTGATATAATTTGGCTGAGATTGTAGACTGGTATTTTATGATTCGTACGCTTTATTCTTAAATCCTTGCGTTTACAATAGGTATGTATAAAAAATGTACACAAATTCTAGCATTGCTCTTGCTCTGCTTCGTAGAACACCAATAACTATAACTATTTTATGGGCGTATTATATTATCGTACTCGCACTCGTACTCTTCTTGTTTCTCTATGCAGATTTTAAAAATTATAACTGAGGAATATATATGCATGTAGTGTAGTGTACACTGTACAATATAGTATAGTATGTGTGCTTGAAATCGTGGCAAACTAATGGCGCTTTAAGTCTTTGATTGCTTTGCTTTGCTTGGCGAAGCCCTAAACGTTGGCAAGAATATTTGAGTTTTGAGAACACCAACCACAGGTAGTACAGGTATTACGGGTAGTACCAGTAGTACCACTAAGACTAAACAATTAAGTTTCTCTTTAAATCTTTATGTACGTATAAATAAGATGGTCTTGGACCAAGGCTTCTAAATTATGTATATTTTAAAGTAAAACTCAAACATCAAATACAAAAGAATTCAAAAAAACGAAGATAATATTTCAAAACGGAATGCGCTCATAGACAAATAGACAAATTTAAAATGAAAATTTATAAAAAAAAAACAAATGTTTTTTAAGTAATTTGTGCAGGAATGTGGACCAGCTATTGCCACAGAAGTTGCTAGGATCGGTAGGATTCGGTTGGTGGATAGATTGACTTATTGGTTGATGGTTTGATTGGTCGCTAGACTGATTGGAGGTAGCTACTATTTTGGACAAGCAACTATTGTCATTATTCATTTGGTAAACATTTCACATTACGCCTCTCGAATATATTTCTCTCTTCCCGCCTGATTGATTCCCGGACCTCCGGACCCCTAGCCATCCTCGTCGTACTCGTCGTCGTCGTCGTCGCTCTCCTTGTAGACCGGCACCGCCGTGATGGTCAGGTCCGGCGGCGGCCACATCTCGGACCATGCCACCGAGGCCCGTTCCTCGGCGTCGTCCGGGTCGACGTCCTCCTCGTCGTTGCTCAGGTTATCCTCGTTGCGTATCACATACAGGCTCTCCTCGTCGTCCTTGGACTGCTCGTACAGCATGCAGTGCTTGCGCTTGGCGTGCCGCAGGACGTGGTCCTTGCGCCGGGAGCGGTACTCGCACGACACGCACTTGTACTTCTTCTGCTTGAGGCAGTACTTGCGCACGTGCTCCTGCAGCTTTTGGTGCGACTTGTAGTAGCGACTGCAGTGCTTGCACTGCATGAACGAGTCCCGGGAGAGCCCTCCTCCTGCACTGGAATTCGGGCCGCCACGGGCGTGGTTGCTCTGCTGGCCGCTCCCGGACGTGGTGGTGTTCACCTGGCCAGTGCTGTTACTACCACTGCTGTTGTTATTGTTGTTGTTGTTGTTGGTGAGATTGTAGCCATAGAACTCGTCGCTGGCATTGGCACTGGCGTTGCCGCCGCTCGTCGTCGAGGTGTCCACCCCCAGGAGGCTTCCCAGGATGGGGTAGATGTCTGCTGGTCAACACACCCACAAGGACACAACAAGAACGGAAACAAAAAAGAGAGGGGGGGAGATAAAAACCAAAGGATAAATTAATAGTAATTCAATAACTAAGCAGACACTAACTTAATATAAAATAAAATGTATTTCAAAGGAAGAATGTATAAAACTTAGTGTGTTTGTTTCTAATACCCAAGAAACGCTGATGATGGATGTTGTTGTTGAATTGGTGAGCGTGGGTTGTTGAGTGGCGAGTTTGGAGTTTGATTCTTGTTGGTGAAGTTTTTAGCAGCGGTTGATGAGGTGTTTTTTGGTTTATGGTGATGAGTTGGTTTGGATGACACAATCCCCAGAAGAGTTACATTTATGCACCACACAAACAAAAGCCACTCAAGCAATCTCTAGACAAGAGCCTCGGTAAACATATATAATGTATATACAACGAAAAGAATGATGAGTTACGGATAATAAATCACAATTTGAGTGTGGTGTTGGTGTGAATTTCAGAAACTACAACAATACAGCAAATTAAATTACGTATGTTTATCATTTATATATATTTTGTTTCTTGTTTCGCATTTAAAACTAAGCTCAAATCACTTTTGGTACAAAAACATCGATTGATGACAAGGTCTCTCTCCGCTCAGGGATTCTTCCGTCTTCCCACTTGAATCTTCCATTTCCATTCCACCTAGAAAAAGAGAAAAATATATATTAGTTTGAGGTTTTTAAAGCAAATCGAAATCAATACTACTGGGAGCTCGGGAATTCCTGCAAAGAGAAAGATGATGAGGATGAGGTGTCGGGTGAATATTTCAAAACAGCATTGAAATCCTTTGACTTTTTTTCTGTATATATATTTTTAATATATATTTAATTTTAGTTTTTATTTGTTGGTTTTTGTTTTGCCTGTTTACTTATAACAATTAAATCGTTTTAATCTTTTAACATTTAAAATAGTTTTACAAATTGTTGTTTAAGGCGTTTTCTCGGCTTTATACACAAATTACATAATTAGATTTACTCTGAATTCGTTCTAACATTTCGTCGTTTCATTTGAAATCGGTTTAAGCACACTTTTCATAGTCTAACTGGCATTTTGAATGTCGTTTGTTTGTTAGATGTTTGTTTACTCATCGCTTTCATCATAAACATCGATGTCTATGTTCAATTTGTTAATCTAGATTGCAGTGCAAAAAGCAATGTGATTCATATATAATTTTATATAAATATAAATGGTTTTCAATTTTTAAACATTTTTTTTTGTTGTATCGCAACCTATGGTACAAACATTTCAACTCGAATCGGTTTCTATAATTATTTTTCGGCGCTTGCATTCATTTTTTAAACATTTTTAATTAGCTATTCGTGAAGCGTGCGTTAACAGCAATCAACATTCATATCTCACTTTCTTAAATGTTTTTCATTTTTTTTATTTTGTGTTAACTTAGGTCTAGGATTTACTTTTGTTTTTATTGTGTAGGCGTGTGTGTATTTAATTCCCCATTTGAATTATGATTAGTTCTTGCAGCTATTTTTAACGGAAATAATATTGAAACAAAAACGAAACAAAAATCAAACATAAATATCAGATTTCCCTAAAAAACATATTATTTTTTTTTTTAATTTTTATTGTTTGTGTTTGTGTATGTGTGTTGTGTGTGTGCTTGTGTTTGAAAAGAAAGCCTTTCTCACGTCCAAAACCCAACCTATTGCCCACCCACTTCTGCTCCGATCTACTCGTTTTTCAATCCGATCCGATCTGATCTGCGCTTCATTTCATTTCAATCACAATTAATCACATCGATTCCTTTATATGTTTGTATGCTTGTTTGTATCTATATATTAGATATTTTTCGTTACATATAATTTTACATTCACAGCTCCTTGTTTACAACTTTTTTTTTTGTTTAATGTTTTGTGTATTTTGTGTGTTTTTTGGGGTGTGTTATAAATCTTTGATATTGTTTATTTAACAGAATTAATAAGGATACATGTTAGTAGAAATAGAGTTATCATCTGTGTTAGTACAATTTCTCGAAAAATATTTCTTTATATTTTATTTTAAGCTTGGGTTGCCAAAAAACAAATTCAAACTCACATATATATCTATTTTTTCCCATATATGTAAATTCTCAATTGTTTTCTTTTGTGTTTGTGGGGGGTGTGGGCTAAATTGTTTTTTTTTTGTTTTGTTAGTAAATTTGTTTGTTAATCAAATTATATTGAAATTTATCACATGCTTTCCTTTAAATTTTAACTATACGACTCGAAAGTTTCGCCATTTTTGGACCAAAGAAATTGCTGGTATCGTGTCTTGAATTTTCAAACAATTTTCGTTTAGATTTTTGGTTCATTTCGAGTCCATCACATGCGCTGTTGATAAATTATAAAATAGGCATAGTTTTTTCTCTTGTTGTAACAAAAAATCAAATGTGTTTCACTTAGTCACTTAGAAAGGTAGTTAAAATTAATATTTGTATAGATAAATAAGAACCACAACCTTAGAAAAAAAACGGTTAAATAAATCGCGTTTAGATTATTACAGATTACAGATTACAGATTATATAAAAAAAAACGGATACACAAATATGTGAATTTCGTGTAGTGCACTTTGTTATTTTATATTTAAGGCCTAACAAAATGATAAGCAAACTTTCTACAGACTGACTAGCGCAAGAAAGCGATTATAAAATATACTTTATTATAAAATGTATGGATCAAAAAGCAGTTAGCCAATCGAGTTATTGTTTCCTCTACAAATGTACAACAAATTTAAAATTTTTTTAAATTTAAAATTTCCTCACCTAATTCGAATACTGACCGATAAGAATTTTGTTTTTTGTTTTCTTTGCAAAATTGAAACAATTTTTATTCGTACATATTTTGTGTGGATTTGTGCCAATTTGTTGCCTGTTGTTTAAATATTTTTTTTATCACATTTTTTGTGTGGCACAAACTTGAAAACTGACAACAAATAACGGTATGTTGCGCCCCATTATGTGGTTTTTTATGATTTTTTTAGTTGTCAACAATTGATTTTTTTTTTATGAAGTACCTAAGCAAGTTTGTTATACATTTAAGCTCTTTTTTCATTTTTCCTTTTTTTTTGTATACCAACAATTATCAAAACGTTAATTCGTGTTTTGTGTGTTCGTGTGTCTGAATGTGGGTTAAACAAAAGCTCATCAATATTATATATCTCCTATATATATACCATATATAATCGTTTCATAACTAGACTTCTTCTTCGTGTAACATTTCATGTTGCTTCTTCAATTTTGACAAGTGTTGTAAATTATTTTTAACAAGAAAAAATATACAATTAGGATTACGATTAATTACAATGAGGACTATATTCTTTATATCACATACCAATTTATTTTTCTGACTGTGACTCGATGCGAGTTCCCCCAACCCGTTAACATTGCCAATTCCTCCGAAACTCTACCATCCTACCTCTCCGCCTCACGCACTCACTTTAGTTTACGATTAATGTTATTTAAAAATAATTAATAACTGATTTAGTTTTCCTTTGTTTTGTTGTGGTCTATCCTCGCAACTGTTTGCCTTGTGTAGGGGCGCCTGAACCCAAAGCCACGCTAATTTTGATTCTCCTTGGTTTTTTTGGTCAAATTAAAATTCCCGCTATCACATATCGTGGTTCGTAATTAACAAATAATTTAAATTTAAAAAAAAACGTTCATGGAATGAGCACAAGATAAATTAATAAATTGTTTTGCTTTTTGTCGTTTTTGTTTTTAGAAAAAAGAGTAGACAGAGATCGTTGAGTTGTAACTACTAACTATAATTGGTTAAACATATGGATAATCCTTTATCATGCATTCCGGTGGCCTTTGGGGGTGCGTTCCTAAGCAAACTTGTAGCAACCTTCACTTTCAAACGGTGTGAGTTTGTGAATATCTCTATATATACCATATTACATAAAAAACGAACGAAATTAGAAATTAGAAACGTGAAATGGTAAAGAACGACGCTTGATTTCTTTCTATTTGTTTTGCTGTGGTGCCCGTTTCATATTGCACATGCTCTGCCAATTCCGATTTGGGGTCTTAACTTAAGCTCTATATACACATATATTATATAACTCTGACTCTTGACTCTAGACTGCTGACTTCTGACTTCTGACACCTCACTCCTGACTCCTTACTCCTGACTGTATTATATCATATTCTTTTATTTTTTTTTTATTTATCCTTGAAGAACGCGCGAGAGTGACCTGCACTAGAAATTACACTATAATTATGTGAATGTTACTTTTTTTTTTGTTTTGTTGCTGTTGCTGTTTGTTGGCTCTGCTGCTACAATAAAATGCATTTCTTTTCCCCATCATATTCCCCATACATTTTCACCACAATCAAGAAAAAAATTCGTTGAGATCATTGAGTTTGCCTAAGGATCTACCCACAGATATCATGCAACATGCGGTGGCGCCTCAACTCTCGCGCGCCCCTCCTCCACCTCCTGACTCTGACTGACGCTGACTTTGCCAATTTCCAAACAATGTTTTTTAGTTTTTACTTTAAGGGAGCCAAAAAAAAAAAACTAAATGTTAAATTTGAATTTGTTAGATTTCCCGCTTGTATATACAAATAGTTACGCGTTAGTATTACTTTTAGGCTGATACTTCTATATAGATAACTGTATGTGGGTGTTAAAAAAACGACTATATGTTTCAAGATCATTTGGAAAAGATTACATAAAACCACGCTCTGGACTGGACTGAACTGACTCGCTATTTCTTCTGGATTCTTGTTTAGGACTTGGGACTCTGACCTGGCGCTACACTCCGATTCTCAAACCTCATTCAAGCCCGCTTCTCGCTCGGATTGGTCGGATGCTCCTGGAGTGCCTGGCGTCGCCGTCGTCGTCTCGGTTGTTGATGGCCTTCGTCGGTGCAGCATTTGTTGTATCATCGATGTTGGTGGGTGCGCATGTGCAGCACGAGATTGTGTTTGTGCTTCGACTTCTTGTGACAAATGGGGCACTCGAACTTCGGCTCCACCCCGCACTCGAAGCGCACATGCCGGTTGAGGCTGTGGGGCCGGGCATAGGTGTTGCCGCATCTATCGCAGGCATAGGCTCCTCCGCCGCCGCCGCCGCCGCCACCGCCGGAGGAGGTGTTTCCTCCCACTCCGCCACTGGACACTCCTCCACCGGTGCCAGTCCAGCTGGTAGGTGCTGCTGCTGCTGCCATTGCTGCTGCAGCCGCCGCTGCCGCCGAGGTGGATGCCCCGCTTGCAGCGCCTCCTACGACCACGCTTCCGGCACCTCCAGCCGCTCCGACCACCGAGGCACTTGTATTGTTGACTGTCAGACCGGCTGCCGCTGCTGCAGCCGCAATCACCGCGGCGGCACTGCTCGTGGGGTCCTGGCCAGCGGCGGCTCCGGTCCCGGAAAAGATCAGATGCGGCCGGGCGCGGCTGGGGGGGTGATGCGTCCCGTGCTGCGACGACTGCTGCTGCTGGTGATGATGTTGGGCTTGGGAAAGGTGGTGGGGATGATGACCCAGGGCCAGGGCAACGGCCCCGTCTTGGCTGGCCGCGGCCAGCAGAGCCTTGGTCAGGTCTATGCGCAGGTCGCAGGGCTCCATGCTGTCCTCGTCGTTGCTGTCGTCGTCGTTGTCCCCGTTCCCGTGGCGCGGCTGGGCCTTGGGGACCATCAGGTGGCCGGTGCCGTAGGTCGGAGTGGTCCGGCCACTGTCCATCCGCTCGTGCTCGTTGTGGTCCTCCAGGCCGCCGGTGCCCGGCTCGAACTTGATGACTCCCGGCCCGGGAGTACCGATGGGACTCGTGTGGGGACTCGTCTTGATGCCCAGCAGGTGGTAGCTGCGGTGGACTGGGGACAGGCGGCCAAAGTCTGTGGAGATCAGGTCAGAGTGCGAGAGAAACAAACAAAAAATAAATTATTTTAAATCACTTTTTAAGGTTTTTTTCGAGAGGTTCTCTCTTTGGTTATCACTTTTTTTAATAGAAATTATAATGTTCCTAATACTAACTGGAAATAAATGAAATATATAAGTTTTTACCGTAGACGTTTATGGTTTAAATATTTTGTTTACTTCTTTCGAGTCTTTGAGTTAAAAATGTTGCTTAGTGATAGATGGTGCTATGGAGTGGACTGATCTGGAGTGGTGTGTGTCTGATGTGTGTGTCTGGAGTGTGTATCAGGTGTGTTTGTGGGGTGTGTGTGTGTGTGTGTGTTTGGTTGTGAGCTTGTGTAAGTAGGCTGCAAAAGTAAACTTTTCGATTAATTATTAAATTAAAAACACAATGAGTACATCATAGAATGCCATTTAGGACACTTTCTGGGGGCTATTTGTAAGCAAAAATAAACAATAATTTTCGATCAAGCTACAAGTGACAGATGATATAAATATACTCTTTTTTTTTAAATATAAAAAATGTGTTCTCGTAGTGGTTAGTGACAAAAAACACTTAAAAGTACGAAAAAAGTGGTTTGGAGGGGCAGGACACATTACTATTGGCACAAGGATACCCATAAGAAAATCACTTCCTGGTTTCCAAAGCCCAAAAAGGTATTATTTCTTCTTTTTTTTTGTAATAATACGCATGCAATTATTAAAATGTAAGAGAAATTATAGCATTAAGAAATAAGGATGTGTTTGGTTTCAAAATATAATTCTATACAAACTAAGTTTTTGGTTTTCGTTTTCATATTCATTTGTAATTAAAATTAAGACTAGGTTGTAGAGGTTCACAATCGCTAAGGAGGAGACAGGTATTCGTATATAGGGAGGAAAAGAAACTTAAAGATAAACCTTCGGCAATACAAACGAAACGCAAGAATGGAAATCAGAAAAAAAAAATCAGAACAAACTACAAATCTAATCGGTTTCATATATAGTTATAGTTACTTTTGTCTAACAAATACATAGATATATAGTTCATATAAAGTCTAGATAGAGGAATACATAGTTATGCATATTTATATCGTATAAATTGTAATTGATATGTTGAAGTAGTTAAGCATGCAAAACAACAATAAGAGAGGGAGAGGCAACACCGTGAACGCGCTGTTTCCGTCAGGACATCAGATACATCATCTGTACATCATCTCCATCATCATCATCATCATCATCACCATCACATCACATCCATCCACCTGAAATAGAAATCTGATTAGTATGGATTCTCAGCAAAATCAAACTCGTTTCTTGTAGTGTATCTGAAGGGGGGGAGCGGAAATAATAGGGATATGGATACGGATACGGATGTCGAGGTGGATGTGAGTTGGGATGATCGAGTGAGTTCTTCTGTAAAATGGAATGGATGACAATTGCTCCGGGGAGCAATCTGGAAAATAAGTACAACTGCTGGTTTTTGGTATTCGGTTTTTGACATTTGCTTTTAATTGTATTTCGAATTTTCTCTTTGGGTTTGGGTTTTTTTCTCAGTGTTTTCGGTTACCTCTTGGTTTTTAATACATTTAGCCGGCAATAATTTAATTACGATTTACGGTTTGTCAGTTTATGTGAGTTACATAGATCATAATCATAATAATGGTAATCTCTCTTGCAACTTCATAGAGGTATTTGTTATAATTTGTTGTATTTTTTTTTTTTTTGTGTATGTTTACATTACAAATCGCATTCAGTGCCGGTGTATCGTGGTTTGTGATTCTGTCTTTTTTTTTTCATTAAATCTAACAATTTTCAAAGCATATATGCACTGATGATATTTCAAATTGAAAATTTTTGCCTCGATTTTATAAACATTTTTTGTTTTTTGTTTTTTTTTAGGTTTTTCATTATTAATTATAATTATAATTTTTGTCTAAAATTGAAAATATTATCTCATTATCGATTTCTTTTTGACTAGATAATCATTCATAGTTAATAATTATTATATAAGCATAACTTAATGACCAGAAATAAATCGTTAATAATGTTTCTAACAAATTAAGGAATAGTTTATATTGCGAACCAAAATCATTATCATAATTATTATATTAAGTATCATTGGAGGGGCATTTGCTTTATGTTCATGCCATGCATATAGTTAGGGTTTATTTAATTATTACAAAAGTATCGTTTTGTCCTTGCAGTGTATTAATAGCACACTTAAAACAATTCTTTTTTTTTTGTTTGGTTTCTTTCTTTTAGCTGTGACTAGCGTTGTGTTTTCTCTGGGAAAAAAATGTACACATATTTATATGAAGATTAATTTTAGGGTTTCTTTTTTTTTTTAGATTTTTTCGGTTTTTTTTTTTGTTTTTTGTGAGAATTTGCTAAAGCATTACATTAATTTGTTTAATGCCTTTTTTCAGTGTATTGCCAACTACTCCCAGGCTTGCTCGTCCTTCTTTTTTCGGCTCCTGGCTTCGTTCAACGAAATCGAATATATTCGCGAAATGGATTCCCCTCCAAAACTTGAAGGATTAAAAAAAAAAAACATGGTGCAGCCACAGGATTCAAGCACATTTTTGGATTTTGTACAGGTCCAAGTCCAAGTCTCTCCTTACTCCGCACTCCGCCGCGCTTAGGCGCTCTCCTTCTGGAACACCAAGGTGTAGGTGCTGCTGCCAGTGCTGCTGCTGCTGTTGTTGTTGTTATTGCTGCTGGATGTGGTGACCACTGCGTTGGCGGAGGCACTGCCCCCGCTGGACACCACTGGCAAGGTGGGCAGCTGGCCGCCCGTTGACGGCTTCTTCTCCTCCTCGGCGTCCTTCTCGCGGTCCCGACACTTGGTGTTCAGGTGGCGCTTCAGATTGCTGTGGACATTGGTGGCGTAGCCGCACATCTTGCTGCAGAAGTAGCGCGGCGGCAGGCCGCACTCGTTCTTCAGGTGACACTTGAGGCTGTTCTTCCACTTGTAGGTGCGGTTGCAGTTGCGGCACACCCACGGCTTCTCGATGTCCGCGTTGTAGATCATGTCGGCTGAGTGCTCCAGCGACTCCTTGCGTGTGCGCTTGTTCTGGACCAGGATGCGGTAGCGGTTGTCGTCCGAGTGGGCCCAGTGCATGTTCAGGTTCTGGGCGTCCATTTGGCCGAGGCTCAGCTTGCTGCCCAGGATGCTGGAGGAGCCGCTGGTTCCCGGCTGACCACCGCTCAGTTGCTTGGGCGCCGAAATGGTGGTTATGGTGGCCGGAATCGCTGGCAGCTTGATTTGCAGCGACTGGCTGGTGGGTTGCAGTTGCAGGTGTTGCAGGTGCTGCTGCTGCTCCAGCAACTGCTGCTGCTGCTGGGCGCTCAGCACGATCTTCTTCACCGGCAGCGATCCGGCTCCGGATCCCGCCACCTGCTGCTTGTTGCCGGACTGCTTGGCGTGCTTCTGGCTGGCCGCGGCCGTGGTCAGCAGATCATCGTCGTCGTCGTCGTTGTCCATCAGATAGCTATCCTCAAACTCCTCGTTCTCGATCTTGACGGCGTCGTAGGTCCAGGACAGCGGGCTGGCCAGCTTCAGGTCGTAGTCGAAGGTGTTCTCGTCGTCGATGGCCTCGTTGCACACCGCCTCGCCGTCGTCCCCGTTCAGGGACATGTTGTCCGGGTTCTCGATCTTCACAATCACCTCCGTCATCGTGTCGTCGATGCTGTCCAGCTCCACCCCTGCAGCCGCCAGAGCAGCCGCCGAGGCGGCATCCACATTGCAGTTGCTGGCCGCGTTCTTGTTGCCGTTGTTCGCCGGCGTGATGCAGGCGATTGTTGTGCGTCCGATGCTGCCGATCCGGGTCACCGTTTGGGTCATCGTCTGGGTCACTCCGCCCTTGTTGCCGTTGGTGGTGCTGTTGTTGTTGTTCATATGGCCACTGGCCACGGCGGCGGCTGCCTGTTTGGCGGCAATGGTGGCCGACGCTACTGCCGAGGCTGATGCGGATGCGGATGCGGACACGGCGGCTGCTGCGGCGGCCTTCATCGACGACGATGTCTTGTTAGTGGTTTTAGCATCGCTTATGAGTGACTTTTTGGACTGAGTAGTTAGTTTGTCTGGAGGTTAGTTTGCATTCGTATCGATTGGTTAGTCATGAAATAGAAATTTGGAATGGTAAGTTAGTTGACTTTGTCAAATTGTATGGCATATTTCTATAAGAAACAATAATAAGCATAATAAAAATAAGATACTGGTGGTGTGTGCTCAGCAACATCACAAAATGTACGACTGTAAGGAGACAAAAGTATAAGAGAAGTTCAAAAACATGGAAAATAAATCGAGTATAAAATGCAATTTAAAAATGGACGAAAACAGAAGCTCGATAATAAAAAAACTCAAGAGTCAGAGACAGTGCAACCGAAATACCTGAGGTTTCCTCCGAGCTCTTGTCGATCCTCGACTGGTCGGCCAACATCAGCCAGTTTCGAACTCGAATCCTGGACTCGCCGCCCTCGAGCTGAGCATTATCATCTGAAAAATTGGAAGCAATTGGATTTTCAGTTAGTAAGTGGTATAGGTATTCATTTGAGAAAATCTATCAACTAGATGTGTACCTATGGATGACTCCCTACACCTTTTTAAATTTTTGATTTTTTTTTTCGATAATTTGTGTTGGTTTTTGGGCCTAAAATTGGGTCCAAAGATGAAATCAAAAGGTCGAGCTTATAATCATAATATTTAAAATAAAAATCAATACTTACAAGCAGAAATGAAAACGCTACAAAATCTGTGTGTAAAAAATAAAGTGTTTTTCTTTTTAGAACATAAAACATAAGCGGGTATATATAAAAATAAAATTACTTTCAAACGCTTCAGAGCAAACAACTTTTGTTTCTTTTGCGTTTTATTACATGGAATTGTATATTTTTCACATTGAAATTGGGGGTTTTATATATATCAATATATCAATTTACAAAAAGAGTTTTACAAACAATTCATAGAAAAATTAAATATATATATTATATATAT